TCCACAAAGAAATTGTTAATTGGACACAACATTTTCATTTTGCAATGGCTAACTCAGTCTCCAGACATGAATCCCAGTGAAAACATGTGGTTTGAATTGAAGAGGGCAGTAAATAGAATTCTGTATGGAGGAATGGTCTAAGATCTAATGGTCTAAGATCCCTCCCTATCTGTTCTCCAACTCATAAAGCATTTTAGAAAAAGTCGCAGTGGCATTATCATTGCAAGGTGGGGCATTGAAGGTATTGAAAACGGGTGTCAACCCTTTTGATACCTACTTTTTTTTAAAGATTTTTTATAATTACTTGTTAAACTAAATCTCTTTCTCTGAGCAATTGTATTAGTATAAATACAGTATCCCTTTTTTTGCATACAATATAGCTCACTATTTGAATTATTTATTTAATACAGTCATTTTTTCTAATCTTTGCTCATCATCTTCAAGGGTGTTAATAATTTCGGGCCCCACTGTAAATCTCTGCAAATTGGTTCCTGTTTCAGTCATGTCTTTGGTGACGTTCGTGTGGATCAAACAAAAACCCTAATGATTGGTTGGCAATAGAGCCTCCCACAATGCAGGCGATGGCTGCCGGGTGCTTGCAGGCTGACTTCGGTCGTCAGTTGAACAGTGTTTCCTCCGACATATCGGTGCAGCTGGCTTCCGGGTTAAGCAGGCAGGTAAAAAAAATAAAAAATTACTTAATGACCTTTGATCACATGATTTTTGTACATTTCATGCAGTCGACATGTAGTAAAATTTGTATCCCCAGAATTTAACACACTTTGAAAGGCGCTGACCAACGATAGTCACCAACTTGACAAAAATGATCAGCTTGAACGTGCCCATTGAGATGAGAAAGATGCAAGACTTTGCTCTCACACAGTCACACAGAGTATCTGCACATGTAAACAGTTGCGCTTCACGCTGCTACGTGGTAGCTACGGGACCAAAACAGCAGAGAAGTTTAGCCTCGCGCTTCAACGCTCCTGGTTGTTGCGAAAATTGGCCAGGGTTAGGTAGGTTATTTTCTAAATGTAATCGTTACAGTTACCCGTCCAAAATTGTAATCAGAAACGTAACTTTTGGATTACCCAAACTCAGTAATGTAATCTGATTACTTTAAGAGGCATTAGAAGTAGAGAAAAGGGATCCATCAAACGCATTTTGTGTGTCATCATAGTGGTCTCTGACTTGTGGTCAAACTCGGTCAGATGGAACAAACATAAAGTTGCACCTTTTTTCAATGCTGAATTGAATGTCATTAAGAAAACAGAAATGTGTATTTTTTCACAAACATCCTTTCTGAATTTAAAAGTAATCCAAGAAGTAATCATCTAGTTTTTCAAAAGTATCTAATCTGATTACAACATTTTTGCTCGTAATGTAACTAATTAGTTTGTTTTATGTAATCAGATTACATAAACCCGTAATTGATTACATGTAATTATATGTAATCAGTTAATCCCCAAATCCTGAAATTGACCCTCTACTACTGTTTACTCTGTGCATATACAGTGGGGAGAACAAGTATTTGATACACTGCCGATTTTGCACATTGTCCTACTTACAAAGAATGTAGAGGTCTGTCATTTTTATCATAGGTAAACTTCAACTGTGAGAGACGGATTCTAAAAACAAAAACCCAGAAAATCACATTGTATGATTTAAGTAATTAATTTGCATTTTATTGCATGACATAAGTATTTGATACATCAGAAAAGCAGAACTTTAATATTTGGTACAGAAACCTTTGTTTGCAATTACAGAGATCATATGTTTCCTGTAGGTCTTGACCAGGTTTGCACACACTGCAGCAGGGATTTTGGCCCACTCCTCCATACAGACCTTCTCCAGATCCTTCAGGTTTCGGGGCTGTCGCTGGGCAATACAGACTTTCAGCTCCCTCCAAAGATTTTCTATTGGGTTCAGGTCTGGAGACTGGCTAGGCCACTCCAGGACCTTGAGATGCTTCTTACGGAGCCACTCCTTAGTTGCCCTGGCTGTGTGTTTCGGGTCGTTGTCATGCTGGAAGACCCAACCACGACCCATCTTCAATGCTCTTACTGAGGGAAGGAGGTTGTTGGCCAAGATCTCGCAATACATGGCCCCATCCATCCTCCCCTCAATACGGTGCAGTCGTTCTGTCCCCTTTGCAGAAAAGCATCCCCAAAGAATGATGTTTCCACCTCCATGCTTCACGATTGGGATGCTGTTCTTGGGGTTGTACTCATCCTTCTTCTTCCTCCAAACAAGGCGAGTGGAGTTTAGGCCAAAAAGCTCTATTTTTGTCTCATCAGACCACATGACCTTCTCCCATTCCTCCTCTGGATCATCCAGATGGTCATTGGCAAACTTCAGACGGGCCTGGACATGCGCTGGCTTGAGCAGTGGGACCTTGCGTGCGCTGCAGGATTTTAATCCATGACGGCATAGTGTGTTACTAATGGTTTTCTTTGAGACTGTGGTCCCAGCTCTCTTCAGGTCATTGACCAGGTCCTGCCGTGTAGTTCTGGGCTGATCCCTCACCTTCCTCATGATCATTGATGCCCCACGAGGTGAGATCTTGCATGGAGCCCCAGACTGAGGGTGATTGACCGTCATCTTGAACATCTTCCATTTTCTAATAATTGCGCCAACAGTTGTTGCCTTCTCACCAAGCTGCTTGCCTATCGTCCTGTAGCCCATCCCAGCCTTGTGCAGGTCTACAATTTTATCCCTGATGTCCTTACACAGCTCTCTGGTCTTGGCCATTGTGGAGAGGTTGGAGTCTGTTTGATTGAGTGTGTGGACAGGTGTCTTTTATACAGGTAACGAGTTCAAACAGGTGCAGTTAATACAGGTAATGAGTGGAGAACAGGAGGGCTTCTTAAAGAAAAACTAACAGGTCTGTGAGAGCCGGAATTCTTACTGGTTGGTAGGTGATCAAATACTTATGTCATGCAATAAAATGCAAATTAATTACTTAAAAATCATACAATGTGATTTTCTAGATTTTTGTTTTAGATTCCGTCTCTCACAGTTGAAGTGTACCTATGATAAAAATTACAGACCTCTACATGCTTTGTAAGTAGGAAAACCTGCAAAATCGGCAGTGTATCAAATACTTGTTCTCCCCACTGTATATCATCTCGCTGAGTCTAGCTTTAAACCTAACCTAACCTATGACCATCACCTGAGCAGTACTGTGCTGGACTGGTTCCACATCCACCTCAGCACAATAGTGTTTAAATTCACCACCCGTCTTTCTGCCTATGAAGGATTGTAGCAATTGAAGGATTGCCTGTAAAGGATTGTGGTAATGTTAAGATTTGTAAGGGATTAAGTCATGCATAGATTGTAGTGCTAGATTTGGTTCACAAAGATGTAACTAATTGTGCATGAACGCGATCCTTCACATCCGATTGGCTCAAAGCTTTACTTAATTTCCATGTTTTAATCATTAATTTATTGTTAATTCCCATAAACCCCATAAAAAGGAATGCGTTTAAGAATTCAAGTTTTGGATCCTTATCAATAAAGCCTTTTACAATAGGTTTCAAATGATTGTACAACAGAGCCACAATAATCTCAGGTTGATTGCACCAAAACACAGGGCTGTGTTCAATAGGTATCAAACAGAATAAAACAGACAAACAGGCAGGGACAACGTGGGCTTGCCCAATAGAAACGTTAATTTTCTGTTGCAAAACGTTTTAAAATGTTGTGCCATGATGAACATGACCCAGGAGCATTTTTTACTAGTGCGAGTCTGTATTAACGCTGAGTATGCTTGACGTCACTTCTATGGGTATAATATAAAGCAGTCTTCCAAAACGTTTCACGTGAAACTGGCTGGCAGCTTTACAACTTTTATTGACATGGACAGAGGAAGAAAGAAGCAGCATCTGTAAAAAACAACTAAACAAAAGAAGACAAACAAAGAAAAACCTTCCAAATGAATCGTTGGAGATTTGTTTTGGAGACACCTGGTGACCTGGAGTAAGCAGCACTTGAGAATACTGGAGAGAGATAGAGATAGGAAAAAAGAGACAGAGGGATAGACAGAGAGAGAGACACACACACACACACAGAGAGGCTCAGTCCTAAATGGCACTGTATTCCCTACTAGTGTACTAGTGTACCAGAGCCCTAGTGTACTACTTTTGACGAGGGCCTATGAGGCTCTGGTCAAGAGTAGTGCACTGTGTACGGAATAGGGTGCCATTTGGCATACACCAGAGAGAGGGACAATAGACGGACGTTCCATTGGCACCTATGCCACGTTGGCAGTGCTCTGCAAAATGAGGAGGAGGAGAGGTCAGATGCTATGGCTCTATGGTCGCGTCCAGATTTCAACAATGGGGGAGACTTCCTCTAGTCTAGCCGATGCTTACACCAATCCAATGCTTGACAGGTAGTGCACAAGTGCACACTTTGGGAGGAGTGTGAATGAATCCGGACAGAGCCTTTGAGGAGAAGGGTACTAGGACAGAGAGGGAGGGTCAAAACAGTGGCCATGTCCCATTTCATTATCCTCCGTCCTCCGGGGTGAAGTTTCCCCTAGCTTCAGATTTAGGATGAGCTTCCCCTCCCCCAATCCTAACCTTAACCATTAGTGGAGTAAATGCTAAATTAAAGGGGCAACTGCACCCCTTCTCCTCCTTAGGACACTACAGCTGCTCACCACCTTTCCCCCACATATCTGGGATCAGCACCTTTCACACCAGTCCAACCCTCAAACACTACGACCGTCCCCACAAAACCTGTCTCTGGATCAGTTATTACCAACGGTTCCCACTTCCCCCAGCCATGCAGTAGCTCCAGGTTAGAAGCCACTCATAACCAAAAGATCTAAGATCAGCTCACCCTCTCTCCCCAATCCTAAAACATCCTTAACCATTGTCCATTACAGGGGGGAAATAATGCAGAACCGACCCTTGATCAGTGTTTAAAGTGAGCGGTGGGCAGGGGTGGGCGAGTCCACCCATGTGGTCCCGTGGTGGGACTGATGTCCCTGAGACCTATAGGTTCTCCCCAGGCTGGTATTGGGGCTCGGTGGAGGTGAAGTAGTCTTCCAGGAAGCCCTGGAGGTACTCGAAGGTGGGCCGCTCCTCGGCATCCTTCCTCCAGCAGGTGAGCATGAGCTCGTGCATTGAGCCCGGGCACTCGGCGGGACAGGGCATCCGGTATCCGCGCTCCACCTGGTCCAGCACCTCCCGGTTCACCATGCCTGACAGGAGGGGTTGGGGTGGGGGAGAAAGAGAGAGAGGGGAGAGAGCAAGAACGAGAGGACACATTAGACAGTGTGTTAGACAGCATTTTTCTATAAAGATTTTCTGAATTGTTTTAAAGAGCCATTTGTACAACTTTTCTAGGTCATATTCTGAATCTGCCACTAGCCCAAAAAATAGAACCATAGCTACAAATTATATATTTCAATGCAAACCCCTCCTTTACGAATACTATAATAAGCACACGGAACATACAAACCCTTCCATTTCCGTTCACTTCTAAGTGCAATTGTATGTAAAGGCTACTCTTGGACTATTGTTTAGTCAAAGTATTTGGTATATGGAACCCTGAAGAAGGCATTGTGTGTCAAAAAGTTGGTGTTTTATACCTATACAGTGTTTGACTACCTTTAGAATTGTTTCATAAAGAATAAATAAAATAAAGTATATGGTACCTGGATATGGTACTCTGCCTTTGGTGGCCAGTTCAGTGAGCAGGACCCCAAATGACCAAACATCTGACTTGATGGTGAAACGGCCGTAGAGGGCAGCCTCTGGCGCCGTCCACTTAATGGGGAACTTGGCTCCTGTGGAAACAAAATCGAGATTGATGACTCTCTGATAAAAGACCATGGTAGCCAAAATGTCAGTATGTTTTCCTAAAACAAGGCTAGATTTGAGCCTCTACAGTCTGCTGAAATGGAAAACATGACCTTTACTTTTGCCCTTCTATTGTGCTCGTTTCCAGTGGTCTGGTTTGCGATATACATTTTTCCTTTCACGGCATACAAGAATACGTTCATTTCTCATGTTATTTAGCCCCTTCATTACGATCACTGAAGTCACAGTGAGTCATCAAGAGACCAGTTGGAATGAAAACCAGGTTAAATAGGGTCCTCCAAAACCAGGTTTAGTATTTTAATGTTTTAGGCAAGTCAATTAAGAACAAATTCTTATTTACAATGACGGCCTACCAAGAGGCAAAAGGACTCCTGTGGGGACAGGGGCTGGTATTTAAAAAAAAGGTCGGACAAAACAAACTTTACGACAAGAGAGACACCACAACACTACATCAAGAGAGAACTAAGACAACATGGCAGCAACACAACAACACAACATGGTAGCAACACAACATGGTAGCAACACAACATGGCAGCAGCACAAACATGGTACAAACATTGTTAGGCACGGACCATAGCACAAAGGGCAAAAATGTAGACAACAATAGATCACTCGAAACAGCTACAAGTGTCAGTAAGATGGAGATAAAACTGTGCAGTTTGAGTGTTTTTTGCAGTTCGTTCCAGTCACTAGCTGCAGCGAACTGAAAAGAGGAGCGACCCAGGGATGTGTGTGCTTTGGGGACCTTTAACAGAATGTGACTGGCAGAACGGGTGTTGTATGTGGAGGATGAGGGTTGCAGTAGGTATCTCAGATAGGGGGGAGTGAGTCTAAGAGGGTTTTATAAATAAGCATCAACCAGTGGGTCTTGAGCCGGGTATACAGAGATGGCCAGTTTACAGAGGAGTATAGAGTGCAGTGATGTGTCCTATAAGGAGCATTGGTGACAAATCTAATGCCCGAATGGTAAAGAACATCTAGCAGCTCGAGAGCACCCTTACCTGCCGATCTATAAATCACATCTCCATAATCTAGCATGGGTAGGATGGTCATCTGAATCAGGGTTAGTTTGGCAGCCAGGGTGAAAGACGAGCGATTACAATAGAGGAAACCAAGTCTAGATTTAAACTTAGCCTGCAGCTTGTGATTTGGAGGTGTTCAGAACAAGGTTAAGGGCAGAGAAAGCTTGCTGGACACTAACAAAACTTTTTTGTAGATCGTTTCACACAAAATCCAAGGGTGGGGCAAGCGGAGTATAAGACTATCATCTGCATATAAATGGATGAGAGAGCTTCCTACTGCCTGAGTTATGTTGTTGATGTAAATTGTGAAGAGCGTGGGGCCTAGAATCGTGCCTTGGGGTACTCCCTTGGTGACAGGCAGTGCCTGAGACAGCAGATGTTCTGACTTTACACATTGCACTCTTTGAGAGAAGTAGTTAGCAAACCAGGACAAAGACCCCTCAGAGACACCAATACTCCTTAGCCGACCCACAAGAATGAAATGGTCTACTATATCAAAAGATTTGGCCAAGTCAATAAAAATAGCAGCACAACATTGCTTAGAGTCAAGTGCAGTGGTGACATAATTCAGGACCTTTAAGGTTGCTGTGACAAATCCATAATCTGAGCGGAATCCAGATTGCATACGAGAGAGAATACTATAGACATCAAGCCAGTCAGTTTTCCAAAACTTTTGATAAACAGGACAAGATAGAAATTGGCCAGTTAGGATCAGCTTGATCTCCCCCTTTAACTAAAGGATGCACTGTGGCTGCCTTCCAAGCACTGGGAAACACCCCAGAGAGGAGAGACAGGTTAAAAAGGTACATTGTCGTGAACCATGGGATGGATGTAACTCTCATCCCCGCCGAGCTACAATGGGTTCTGGGATGGAGAGAGCAGGAGGCCAAGAAGATGGAGAGTCAACGGGACAGGAAGAGGAACAGGAGGGAGAGAGCTGAGAGACGTCGGAGACAGACCCCCAGTCTGTCCACACCATCACCATCGTCACCGAAGATAGAGGCAGCATTTTTGCTTTTTCTGCAGAGAGCCTGTTTCTAGAACACCTCTTTTTTGCGGGCATTTTTTGCTATAGCTTTAATTGCTGTTTTTAGCTGTTGAGATCGGAGCCTGTTAACTTTTTCAGTTAGAGGTAAGCCTCTGCTTTTAACCCACAGGGGCAGGGTCATATAATTTGTATTTTTCTTTAGGAGGAACGGGATTGGGTTTCCTCAATGTTGGGAGCTAGGATATCCATAGGATAAGTAGACTCTCTGTAATGGGCTTTGCTTGAATAAACACATGCAGTGCGTTTCCTCTAGAGGGGCCACTGACCGAAATAGACCGGATAGATCCTCCCTTGGTTAACGGTGTGGGTCCATGCTTAGGGTGTGTATGAAAAATGTCTTAGGATGTTAATCTAAGGCATGGCACGGTGACTATACCTCGTTCATCTTGTGGGACACTAGGTCCCATTACAGTGAATAACTCCAGGTCCACAGGTGAAGGGTTTGTGACGTGGGTGTAAAACGAAGCTATTTATTAAATGATAACAGTTGCCGAGCTGAGAAAGTATACTCACCACTCCATTTCCCCTGGTCTTATAGCCCTAGGAGAGCCTGACGAACTACGGGTCGCCCTAGCCCCGAGCTGGATGCCCTGCTGAGTGGTTCTTAATAAGAAAAAGGTTTCTCCCACTCCAGCTGTGGCTGGTATCAGTGGGTTGCTGGGATCGGGACTGCGCTGGAAGGGCAACACCCGTAGGTAATAGGCTTGAAGCAGGGGTAACCTAGGCTAGCTCATTAATCTGATGGGAGAGGCGTGAGTTGGGCAAGACATTTTTAGCGTCCCTGGGTGGGCTCAATAAAAAGAGCCTCGGTTGGGCACGACTAAAGGATTAGTCTTGAAAAAGCCCACAATTATTTGACCAAAAGAAACCATAGGCTGTGTAGGAAAACCCACCCAAATACAAGGAGGTTTAAATTCGATAGGCCCATCAAAACTTGCTCCAGGGAGAGTCGACATCCCATGGGTAAGAGAATATAGGGGTCATCTAATCATGGCCGAAGCTCTGTCCAACAACTTTGTGTTAATTCCCCTCCAGGGAACATGGTCAACGGTGAATGAAAGGGTTAAACCAAAACTGATTTTGAGTGGTATGACTGAGCGTGTATGGGAGAAACAAAGGTTATCAATACGACCAGGTCCATTCCCCGGATTACTGTAGATCAGCAATGGGAGGAGAAGCCCATTCTCCTAGCTCGGGTCCCCGAGGGAAACTCTGAAACCATGTGGGAAGGTGGGGTTCAGTGGGGGTGCTTGGTGGAAGGCCATGGCGTCCCTAGGAAGGGGAGCGATAGGGACCATAGTAAGTCCTAATGAATTGTCGTATAAGTACCTCAAGGCGCAAGTGTGGGAGGGAGGGAATGTGAGTCCCCCAGCACTGCCGGAGCCTGAGGTTGGGGGCTCCTACTTAAAAAACAGGGAGGAACTAGCCATCTTGCTAAAGGATTTGAATGTAACGGACAAAGGGGGGCTATTGAGAGAGCCGGTGGGAAAGGAACCGTGCACTCTGGGCCGGATGGTTACACAGCACCGAAGTATGGAGGAGACATAAAGGAAGGAGGTCCCTCTAGACGGAGGTGTCAGGGTTTGACCCGAGACTGGAGCCTGAGGTGTTTCCGGATGAAAGGGTAGGTCAATGGCTAGAGGGGTTGGATGAGGACTGTGATGAGTCAGACTCCCGGGCAGAGGAAGATGGCAATGAAATGGCGCCAGTACTACCCCAGAGAGTGGCACCAAAAACCTTAACCCCAGGAGAGGAGATGGGGTCAGGAGGGAGGGGGAAAGGCAACTTGCCTAGAGCCCCTCCTGGCGAGGCAGAAAGTGCTGTGCAGGCGGGGAATGCAGTATCTCAGGCCCAAATCCCTGGAACTCAGCCATGGAAAAAGGGCACAAGGTCCCGATGCACTGAGCGCAGCTCTGCCCCAGAGAAGGGTAAATCCCCACAGTGAAGGGGGGATCCCAAAAGGTGGGGACCGTGGGTTGCCACCAGAACCGGTAATAATCAACCAGGTTAATAATAGCTATGTCGGAAGGGAACATAGCAGGGAGTAGGGCAGACGCGATAGTGAACGCGAACAAATCTTATCTCAATCATGGGGTGGCCAAAGCCCTGGCCGATGGCGTGGGACCGGCCATGGAGGAGGCAGAGCGGCACTGGGTGGACACCTACGGCCAAATTGTGTAGTCCCCATGGGGGGAAAACTGAGAAGGCCATACATACTACATTACGGTGAGTCCACGTGTGGAGGAGACTGATTATTTGTGAATAGACCTCCAGCACACGGTACGGAACGTGTTGGTGGTGGCCGACAGAGGAGGAATGGCCTCGTTGGCGGTACCCATAATATCAGCGGGGAACTTTGGGGGTGACCCACGCGTGTGTGAGGACGCAATACTGGCGGCATTAGAATAGTGGAATAAGGCGCGACCTCTGGGTAGGAGATCACTGGAAAAAGTAATCATAGTAAAATTGCCGAAAAGGAAATCTCAAGAGTGGGCCCACAGGTAGGGAGGCATAGCATATGCCTCCGCCACCGCAATGGGTTCCCAGGCAACAGCCACATGAAAGCCCTCCTCAGCCCCTTGGATCACAGACCCCGGGAGCAGACGCGCATGTGTTAAGGAAAATAGCCTTTTCCCTAGATGGAGGGAATGGGTATGAACGGTGTGAGAGGTTGAGGCCAGGGACCCCACGCCCGGGGGAATGGTACCGGGAGGAGGAAGAGTTGGAGGAGGATAGTCGCGGGCAGAACACAGTTAGGTTTCAGCCTTTGAACTCACTTCGCCTCAGTCCGTCTCAACCAGACGCCGATCCCGGATAGGGATAGGCCTCTGATCGCATTCTACCCTGAGTCGCCTAGATACGAGGAAGAGTAAATCGATGAACCCCGGGCGTGAACCCGAAGTACAGTCCCATAAAAGCCAGAGATGGAAGAGAATGTTATG